TTTCACATATTGAAGGTTTTCAGCAAGTGAGATTTTCCTTTGAAGTGTGAAGAATGTTTCATCGGTTGCTTCTTAAATTAACTTAAATTTTCTTGGCCAGAACATCTATCTGTAAAATTTAGTGGTTCACTTTCAACTTCTGGCTGCTAATCTTTTATGATTCAAATGAATTATTTTTACTTTAAAGGTTAAATCTTTTGCCAATTGGTATGTTAGAAATGTTAAGTAAAATAGTACTACTTGAAATTATATTTGATTTACTTTTACTTGTTTAAAAAGAATCAGTGTCTAGTAGGAAAAATCTCATTCCTTTGGCTATGTATTAAGAGAAGCAAACAATTAAATAAAATTCCTTAATTTCCCTACTTTTCCCAAGTTTAAGAAGGAAGGTAGAAGCCCTATTTTTTGGGTTGTTTCTACCTTTTAGCTATTGTGAATAATGCTGTGATGAACATTGGTGTACATGTATGTGTTTAAATCCTTGTTTGCAAGTCTCTTGGCATACCTAGGTGTAGAATTACTGGATCATATGGTAATTCTACTTTTAACTTTTTGATGACCTTCCAAAATATTTTTCATAGCACTGCATAGTTTTACATTCATTCCAGCAATATTCAAGTGTTCCCAATTTCTCTACATCGTCTTCCAACACTTATTATGTTTCATTTTTCTGATAATAACCATACTAGTGGGAGTGAAATGGTATCTCATTGTGGATTTGATTTACGTTTCCCTAACGATTAATGGAGTCCTTGGATGGTGCAAACTTTAATATGCTTGGCTGCTAACCAAAAGATTGGAGGTTTGAATCCACCCAGAGGTACCTCAAAGAAAGGCCTGGTGATCTACTTCTGAAAACTCAGCCATTGAAAACTGTATGGAGCACAGTTCTACTCTGACATACCTGGGGTCACCATGAGTTGGAATCGACTCAACAGCAACTAGTCAGTGACTAATGATGTTGAGCATCTTTTCATATGTTTATTGACCATTCATATATCTTCTTTGGAGAGATGCCTGTTCAAGTTCTTTGCCCTTATTTTAACTGGGTTGTTTGTCTTTTTGTTGTTGAGTTGTAGTTCTTTATATACTTTGGGTATTAAGCCTTT